CAATACTGTGTTTTAGGTTTATAGTGTTTTTCAACATACAATATTGCGACCACATTGTTGAGGATTTATATTTTTCCGCTAATTCTTCAAAATAAACAAACAGAACATTCTCTGATAACGATTTTAGGTTTCGTTCATTCTTCCATTTTACAAATGTTTCATAACAACTTTCATATCTTTCTTTTGAAATTAACGGTAGAAGATTTTGCGTGATTTGGGAGGCTCTTTCAAGTATTTCTGGAGGAGTGCAGTTAAATTCATCTTCTATCATCGTGTAACACTTCTTTTTTTATAAATTTGCAATAAATTTGACTTTATTTAAATGAGAACTGTCAGTAGTGACAATAGCCGTGTGAAAACGTTTTCACACGCTGTTTGAATTTGACGTTTTTCGAGAGAAGTTGGTAGTGCGTTTTTGTGTATATTCTAAGCAGCCGTAGGAAAAAAATATTTGAGTTATTTTATACAATGTAAAAGTGTAATTGCAATTAACACCTTCAGATTATCTTACGCTCGTCCCAATTACGTCCTAATCATCAATCATCACAAAATGGCAAGCCAAGTAAGCACACCCGGTCGACGTTTTGAAATAAGCGCGCGCGAATTTCGAAACGTCTGCAGAGCACGTCATTTTTCCACCTTCACTATAAGTGCGCGCTAAGCTTATTCCACCCACTTCCTATTCACTACAGAAGAGAGTGAGCGAAGCGAGCGCGCCCGGCCGACGTTTCGAAATTCGCGCCCAAATTTTGAAACGTCGGCCGGGCGCATCTTTTTTACATCTACACTATAAGACATACGCTACCGTCATCTCACCCACCTCCTAACCACTATAGAAGAGAGGGAGCGAATCCATGATTATTTTTTTTATTTAACGCGCAAATTATGTTGAATGCAAAAACGTCAAAAGAACATCTAGCCGCCTAGCAAAATATTTGCAGTTCCCAGGCGAATATGCAAGAGGTAAAACCGACAAAAAAGATGTACCCAACTCGATTTTTCATTTTTTGAAACATAAATGTTGTAAATAAAACCTAAAATATAGGTAGAATATATATTTTTTTAATTTCTGTATGATTATTACCAAAAGTTAAATTGTTATTTGTTAAAAGTAGGTAAAAAACTCGTAATTTTACACCGTCTGACAACACCGCACTTTCATAAAACAATTTCTGTGGCATTTGTCAGAAGATTGACAGATATCAAATTCAGATTTAGAAATAAATAAGCATGCTCAAGTAGTAATTAATTTGTTACTATACATTACTAATTAAAATTTTTTTGCGGTTTCCACTGGTAGTGCGGTTATATTTTTTGCATTTCTTTTTCATCGATTAGGATTGATAACACCGCGCATTATGACAGGACAGATATAATTCTAAAAAAAAGCTTCTCAAAATTCCTTAATACATAAAAAAGAAAACAAAAAAGTAAAATGTATGGAGTTTCTGCAGATAAATTTGAAGATTACTATCCTTCCTAAAGCCTAAAACGTGAGTTTTAAAAAAAAAATTGGATTATTAAGAAAAGGGCGTCTTGCCAATAATTACCAATATTTTATTGCAGAAAAGCGTGGGGTGCTCAGGGCCGCTGAGAGCCGTGGTAGGCCCCGGGGGTATTTTTATAAAGTTAAATTTCTAAAAAAAGGTCCTCAAACAACCAGGTCCTCCTTTTTGTGGCGAACTTCTAAAAAATAAACCGTCCTCAGCTGAAGCTGCTGGGCCTGTAGAATTTGTCCCCCCTGCCCCCTCCCTCTCGTCGGGCCTAGGGATGCTTGATATCAATTGTTTTAATATTTTAATGACAGATATTGGTAGAAGTAGGGTCATTATGGAAAAATCTTAAAAAGCACCCCTAGCTTTTCTATAATAAAAGAAATATCATTTTTTTTTAAATAGCTTCATTTAAATGATATAAAATGATTTTAATTCCGTTATATTCCGTCATATTACGACATAAAATTATTAAAATAAATCAAAGTACAACTAGAGCCGTCATTTTCATTACACTTTTCCGTCACTCGAAGTGCGTCCATCTGTCATATGGCAAAATAGTGTTTATGTCGTATTTTACTTTATTCTACCTCGATGGAATGAAAATTCGATACGAGTATCGGATTGTCATTCCAATAGAGTAACAGACTGTACTTTCTCCTCTGCCAAAGACACAGTAGGAGTTGAATGTAGTAAAATAAAACTTTGAAAAAAAAGGAATTTTTAAGCTAACTTATGTTAGGCAAGTTTCTATTTAAATTATATGCATACTATCCATCTAAGAACAATTATTCACCAAATTTTGAATTTAAGTCGACTCAACAAACGCCGCTTATCTTTATTCAAGCAAATTCAAACTAAATACTAATACGTCGCTTAGAACTGCCAGTCATGAAATTCATGTCTATCTAAGATACCGGCGTGCTAATCATAGTCATTGGCCAGTAGGTAATACGAAATGAACATTCTGTCTCTAGAGCTAGAATGAAATTCGTGTAAAATAAATAAGAGGCAAGAGTTTTAGAATTTTTTTTCAATCTCAAGAGCGAGAATGTTTTCATTCTCTTAATATAAGTGGTTTCGGAAGAACTACATTTAGTAGTGACCGTGGAGAAAATACATTTGGACATAAGTAGACGACGAAATTGTTCATACATCATCACCAAAATATGTTTTAATTTGGCCGAATTTACGAGTGAAATTAATATTTTTTATATGTTCCCGTTGTGGTCCGTTAGATGAAATTCCGGACATTACATGCTTTATTACGCCTGCAATGATAAAATTCGAGATGTAATAATGTGCTTTAATTTCACCGCTACTACCAAGTCATTTCGCTAAATTTCCTACCAACTATTTTCAGTTTTTACAATCATAATAGCACTAAACTACGATGAACGATCATTACACACATGGCATATATGATATGATATAAATTTACGGAGAGTTGTGCGAACATGAAGCCGTAAAATTTTGGTTTTGTACGAATAAATTTAAATTAAACTTTTTATAAATTGTGGAATATATGTTCCCGTTTTTGGTATAAATATTAGAATTAGTTTCTTTTACTGTAAAGATTCTTAAAGTGATCCTCCGTTTTTCTTATTTGTCGCCCTAAAAGCTTTTCTAAATTTTTTTTTCACAATACATAACAAACATGAATAACTTGCTGATAAGTACAGTTGAAATTATAATTACAATTAAAAGAAATAATCGAGCAAAAGAGAAAAATCATAATTGGAGTTCGTTGTAAAATTTAAATGTTTTGGATTGGTAGTTTAGCCACTTCTACACAACGACATTTTACTCATACTTGTGAAAAGAAATATAAGTCACAAACTAATAAAAAATTATTATTTGTACCAAATGCATAAAAAAGTAGTCGGCGACGTATGGGAAAAGGGATATAACCAAAAAATCGTTATAGTACGAGGATAAGCCATTGCGTAAAATAATAGATATGTTATTTCAATAAATTTTGATTTTGTGAAAAAGTAAATAAGTGTACTTGGCTAGGTGAGAGCTAAACTGGTATAAGAGCAAAATAAGATTTTAGAGAAAAGGCAAGAAATGTTTATATTTGTATCAAAGTTAAAGTTAAAATGAGGTTTTCTGTATGTTAAAGTGATAATGTCTCGAGATATACCTCTTTAGCACTGATACGGGACACCAGCTGAGTATAAACATAATTATCTCTACTACAATAAAAATGTAACTTTGATCAGTTTAGCTTTAACTTATCCATTTTACGTGAATAATGGAACAATTCTATTTGTATCCGAAACCAATAATAAATATCTTAATAGTTATTTATGTACCAACGCCGTAAAAGACATTTTTAATCATCGTAATGGCACCACGATTAAATTATACAGCTTCATATATTTATTCAATTTGTTTTTAACACTATCATTTTTAACTAAAAGTATAACTGAACTTTAAATCTGCATCAAAATCGCATTATAAAAATATTAATATAGCAATACATATCTCAAAAATTGAAAATCTTATTGAATGATTTTCAAATATTCAAAACTATGCTATCATTTCTAATATATCTAAAACATTTAATATTTTTGATTAAAATATTTGACACAAAAAACATTAGACACTTAATTTTATTAAATATCTACTTTAACACTCGGTATCTTTTTTAATATCAAGAATTGAATTAAGGTAAATTGTGTTATATGGCAATATTTTAGTGTAAGGGAATTTATAGTTGCTTCGCGTCCCATTACACCGGCACACAAAAAAAAGTTGTCAGTACTTTTGACAGGACTGGTATATCTTTATGTATTTGACCCGCTGAATCCGAATCTGAGGTCCGTTTGACCCGTACACCGTCAAATTTTCGAGAAAACTTTGAAAAACCGAAAAAAATGACGAAAATCGGCAGTTTAGGTGATATAATTTTTTTTTTTTTACCTAAACCAACCATGATTTTTATGTATTTCGACCCGCTAAATCTGAAGTTTATTTAGACCATAAGCCGTTAAAAGTTTAAATAACTTCCGAAAAACCCTGAAAAATTGCAAAAAAGCAAAAAATTCCAGATATTTTATAAAATTAGGTCATTCATGATTCTCATGTATTTTGATCCGCCGAATATAAATCTCGAACTTCTATAGCTCAGACATCTCTAAAAATCTAAATAAATGGCAAAAAACCACTGTAAATTAAAAGAAATCAAGTCCGTTATAATAAAAATAAAAAATGTTTAACATATCCGATCTGTAGAATACAAATTTAAAATTTTTTGAACTAAATCCTCAAAAAATTTTAATTCTTTAAAAAAATCTTTTCAAAACCGTTTATTTTTTAATTTTAATTCGTTCTCCGCTTATATCTAACACTTTTATCTTCAAATGACCTACATTAGTTATTTATTTCCTTGGGTAGATCTCTATTTAGTGTCCAACAATGATCTGCCATCATATTGACATCCCACTTTCCTTGATGACGATTTTCCATTACACTAATGTCTTGATGGAATCTTTCATCTTGCTATTCACTGTAATCGCCAGGATTTTCAGGAAAGTGTGAAAGGTGAGAATGTAAATAGTGCAATTTTGAATTCATCAAGCAACCCAAAGTATCGTAGTTGTACAACTCTTCAACTAAATTGACGTAATTCTCACTTTTCGTATTCCCTAAAAAGTTTTGTGATACTTCTTCGAAGCTTGCCCACGCTGCTCTCTCAATCTCGATCATTTTATATTCGAAATTATCGTCCTGAAATAAAGTCCGAATTTGGGATCCATCGGAAATTCCTTCTTTCAATTTGGCATCACTTATAGCTGGAAAGCTTTCCCCAAAATATTTGAAACAGTTGCCATCTTTGTCTAAAGCTTTGACAAACTACTTCACGTATTTTTCGTCCTCAGAAATGATTTCTTCGAAGTCATCGTCAACTTCCATCTCTTCGTCCTTATTCATCGGTTCAGGAGCTGCAGGTTCTTCGACAACCAACATTTTTTTTGATTGTACAATTGATGTTACGTTGGCATATTGAATTTTATGTTTGGTTGTCGAAGTAAAACCTGCAACGTTCGTCATGTAAAAGTAGCAGTTTTTTTGACTTGTCGGTGCAGACCAAACCACGGGTTTTGAAAATTTCAAGTACTGTTGATTTTTTGTCTACTCATATACCTTTTTCATTTTATTTGAAAAAGATCTACGATTTTTCGTTACTTCAAACTCTCCACATATGTACGAGTAACAAAACAAATTGGAGCTTTTGTTACATATGCGAGAGACACTTCTTGTCATATTAAACGCTTCAGAAGCCAATTCACCCACTAATGAATAGCTGCAGTCGCTTGATGACGACGCCTGCGAGCCTGCTTTCTCACTCTGACCAGACGCCGATAACCCAGGGACTCTGCTAGACGGTTCTGTTGCTCGTCGTCACCACGTGGAGGTGCCCTGGTTACAGACACAAGTATTCAAGCAAAAAATCAGGAATGCTTAAAATTGCGATAGAAAGAAGGAGTTCCGAAAATTCATCAGTGTACTGACCACATGTGAAAGGTTGTATTGATTCATCTAAGATAAGTTTTAAAGCTGTGCTTTTTCATAATGAAAATATATTGGCACTGATTTACAATTTGCAAATTGTATTAGATGAAATAAAGTATTCGGAACATCAACGGAAAGTTTGTGGTGATATAAAATTTGCAACAATCAGAGTTCACAAAATATTCTGCTATTTATGTTTGTGGGATAGTTGAGATCGAATAAATTACTATGTTAACGATGCCAAATAAAAAGAAGGAATTTTCGGTCCCCGAACAGGACCTCGAATTCGGACTTTATTTCAATTACAACTTTGGGTTGCTTGATAAATCTTGAATTGCACATTTTACATTCTTACTTTGTACACTTTCTTGGAAATTTTGGCGATTGCAGTGACGAGTAAGGCGGAAGATTCCACCAAGACACCAATGTAATGAAAACGATATCAAAAAAAGTAGAATTAACTAAAATTTTTTGAGGATTTAGGTCAAAAAATTTTAAATTTTTATTCCACAGATCGGTAACATGTTAATTTTTTTTTATTTTTACCTAAAAATTGATTTTTATCATAACGGACTTGATTTTTTTTAATTTTCAGTGGTTTTTTTTGCAATTTATTTAGATTTTTAGAGATGTCTGAGCCATAGAAGTTCGAGATTTATATTCGGCGGAACAAAATAAATGAGAATCATGATTTATCTAATTTTATAAAATTATTAATACAATATTTGGAATTTTTTGCTTTTTTTGCAATTTTTCAGGGTTTTTTGGAATTTACTTAAACTTTTAACGGCTTGTCTAAATAAACTTCAGATAAGTATTTAGCGGGTCGAAATTCATAAAAATTATGCTTGGTTTAGGTCAAGTTTTTTAGAAAATTTGACGATGTACGGGTCAAACGGTCCTCAGATTCGGATTCAGCGTGTCGAAATACATAAAGATATACCGGTCCCGTCAAAAGTACTGACAACTTTTATTTGTGTGTGCCGGTGTTATTAACGGACCACCTTGTACTATTTGTTTATTTTGTGTACTAGTTTTGTACTATTTGTGTATTTTGTGTATTATTTATATATTTCGCGTACCGTTTATGTACCTACTGTTCGTACTATATGTACTATTTGTGTACTGTATGAACTATTAGTGTACTATTTGTTAAATACTTGTGTACTATAAGTGTATTATTAGTATACTCTTAGTTTACCTACTATTAGTGTAATATTATTGTGCTATTAATATACTATAAGTGTGCTATTAGTATACTATTAGTGTACTATTACTGTACTATTAGTGTACTATCAGTGTACTATTAGTGTACTATTAGTGTACTATTAGTGTACTATTAGTGTACTATTAGTGTACTATTAGTGTACTATTAGTGTACTATTAGTGTACTATTAGTGTACTATTAGTGTACTATTAGTGTACTATTAGTGTAGTGTACTATTAGTGTACTATTAGTGTACTATTAGTGTACTATTAGTGTACTATTAGTGTACTATAGTGTACTATTAGACTACAGAGTTAGGTCGGATACAGGAAAAAAGTATCCGAGTACCGGATACGGATACTTACAATGTATCCGGATACTTTTAAGGATACTTTCACCTAAAAAGTACTCGGATACAAGTATCCGGATACTTTTTTCGGATACTTTAAAGGATACTTTTACGGATACTTTTAAGCATACTTTTAAAGTGAGTTATAATAATGTTTTCATACCAATAGTTATAATTATACAATAAGATTGAATACGAGTAACAATAAACAATACTAGGCATAAATAAATTATCGAAAATGGAAAGCAATGTAATAGAAACAGGAAAAGAACTGCTCAATAAATTGTTTATTATTTTTATTCTGTGAATACAAAACATTAAAACAAAATGAACAATAAACATAAAGGTGCGTGTAAATAAAACGAGTCGTGCCTGAACCGAGCCAAAAAACAGCCAGTGTCGTGTCGATATAAATCTAACGAAATAAGCTCGTTGTTGGCGCGACTTGCCATGTCTATACAACCTTTCGACATTCTCGTCAGTGTCAGATATATTCGACAATCCATTTTTTGTGGATCCTCCGACGAGCGTTACTTGGTAGAGTCGAGAGCGTCGAAAGGAGATTGCTGAATGTTTCGTTCTGGCATAGGCAAAGCAGGCTCGTATATTTGATCTTGTCAGATCTGCATACTTTATTAATGTTGATGACGACATAAGTAACACATGGTCATTATGAGCAACAACGTCATACATGTATGTACCTTATAACACATACAATCATTCAGCTATTATTATATCATTTTACTTTTAATATTTTTATTAATTGGAAGTAATACCCCGCTGATTTTATTTATATTTATTTGTCAAGCGTTTTAAATGAAATTTTGGAGAGACATTTTACACGAAATTCTATATTATCTTTTATTTTTACATTTTTTTTATCTAAGCTGATTTTCCGAGATATTTTTTTTAATTATACCATTTTTTTAAAAAACTGGATTTTATTCCGGCTTCCAATGAACTGATTAGATTTTGGGCAGAATCGGAACATCTTGGGGTGTACTCTATGGGTGGTCATTTTTATATTTTATGGAATATGGGGTCTATTCTGTAACAATTCCTTTATATTTAACGGCCTTTAAAAATATTGGCGGCCTTTAAAAATCGTTTCTTATTCGTTAATTTACTTATATCATTATTTAAACAGATTTCTTTAAGATAGTCCTTTAATGTATTTTAAAGATCCGTTTAAATAATGACAGAAGTAAAGGAGAAAATATTTTTAAAGGCCGTTAAATATAAAGGAATTGCTACAGAATAGACCCCTATATCTGCTATTTACGTTTGGAGAAAAAAATTCTTCGAATAAAAGTTACTTATAATATTATTATCATCAATATTTTTTGTTTTATACAAAATTTTCTTAAAATGGTCCGTATTCGAGAAATTTGTCAAATGTAAAAAAATATTTTTTTATAAAAATTGTTCAAATAAAAGTGGAAATTTTAAATTTCAATTAAAAAATATAATAATAATATGTCTTTATTAACTAACATCCAACAGAGAATAAATGCAAATATAAAAATAAATAAATAAATAATACTGTTTATACAGAGAAAAAAAATATACAATTAAATTAGACATGTAACCGGAATAATAATATATAGTAATATAAATGTTAGTTAAAAGGCACAGGATCAGCATAGTTGTTCTTCCTCTAGTGCCTCAAAAAATAAATAAACAGCCCAGAACAAAAATAAAATATAAAACAAAACGTTCATTGAAATTGGCGCACAAAATCACAAAAAATAAAATCACAAAAAATCACTACTATTGCATTGATCATTGAATAAAAAATTAAATATTTTCTTTCTACATTTATCTTGCTAAATCAGCTTAGATTAAAAAATATAAAAAAAAATAATATAGCGTTTCGCGTAAAATGTGAAAAAAAAATTCATTTAAATCGCTTGAGAAATATAAATAAAGTATTTTTTAAGGGTATTACTTCCTCTTAAAGGTTCAGTTACGATTGTGGTAAATAATTTAAAAGTATCCGAATGCCGAAAAAAGTATCCGGTATCCGGATACTTACAAATTTGGTCACGGATACGGATACCGGATACAAAATTTGAAAAGTATCCGGATACAGCTTTCGGATACACGTAAAGTATCCGGATACTGTATCCGGATACAGAGGTATCCGGATACTACCCAACTCTGGTGTACTATTAGTGTAATATTAGTGTACTATTAGTGTACTATTAGTGTACTATTAGTGTACTATTAGTGTACTATTAGTGTACTATTAGTGTACTATTAGTGTACTATTAGTGTACTATTAGTGTACTATTGGTGTACCTTTAGCGTACTATTAGTGTACCATTAGTGTACACTTAGCGTACTATTAGTCTGCTATTAGTTTACCATTAGTGTACTATTTTGCACTATCTCGTAGGGTTCCGTAGTATTTCCACTTGGCAGGCGTTGCGTTGGTGACCTGAAGAAAAATTGCAACGACGTCAATCACAATCACACCACGTCAATCACAACCACATCAACTTAATTTTCATCTATTCCTGTACTATTTACATACAATTATTGTTCTATTTGCATACTATATCTACTATTTGTGTACTATTTGCGTACTATTTGCTTACTATTTGCGTACTATTTCTGTACTAAATGGCTTACACGAATGTCTAGGGCTACGATATGTCTATGTACATTTTGAATGTTTTCAAAATGCACCTATTGCGGAAAGAATTTCTAATCGTGCCCCCCTGCGGCGAAATTCGGAACCTAAAAATAATATCTAGGATTTTCTCATGGCCACTTCAATCATTATTTTTCCATTTAATTTGTATGTCCAGTTGTTTCCGAGACAAAGCCGGTTGCAAACTTCCATTAAGTATGAAGTAGTTAAGATTGTCCCTCCTGGATTTCTCAGAAACTCAA